ACCCCGGCTACAGGCGCCCACCAGGCTTCGCCGCGTCCTGTCCTGGACATTCTGCAGATGGACTCACAGAGCCCGGTCTGCTGGGACCGTCCGTCTTCCTTCACTGGAGTGACTGTTCTCTAAGCTCGTCCGTGTTTCGGTTCCGTTCTGCGGCTGTGCCCAGCTGTGCTGGCCGGTCAGCAGTTACGGGACCCCCGGGTTTTCTGCACTGTGGGACGGTGAGTGGTGCTGCTTCCCAGGTGTGGGCAGGCTTTTGTGTGGAAGTGTTTTTAGTTCTCCTGCGTTTACACCTGGGACAGGCACTCCAGGTTCTGTGTCATTCTGATCCACCTTTGGAGGAACGAGCAAAACACTCCTGCTAGTGGCTGCATCGTGTCCGGTCCCAGCAACGTATGAGAATTTCAGGTCCGCCACTTCTTCACCAGCACTTGTTACCTTTCTGTCCTTATTTTAGCCACCCCTAGTGTTTGTAGTGTGGTGTGGTGTCTCCTTATGTGTTTTTCTAAATGTCTGTATTTATTTGAAGGCAGTGAAAGAGGGGAAGAGAGAGACAGAGATCTTCCATCCACTGATTCACTTCACAAACACCCCGACTGCCAGGGCTGGGTCAGACTGAACCAGGAGCTGAGCGCTCCATCTGGGTCTCCCACATGGTGGCAGGGACCCAAGTACTTGAGCCATCACTTGCTGCCTCCCAGGATGCACCTTAGCAGGGAGCTGGACTGGATGTGAGACAGCCGGAACTTGAACCAGGCACTCTGACATGCTGGGGGGTGGGGGTGGGGGGTATGTCTGAGGCAGTGGCTTGGCTCTGCCCCCACTGTGCCCAGCTTCCAGGGTGTGCATAGCAGGAAGCAGAGCCCCGGCTGGAACTGAGCCCCACCCCTCCCACAGGGCATTCAGGGGTCCCAAGCAGTGCCTTAGCCACATGCCACATGCCTGCCCCAGAAGATTTAAAATGCAGATTTGGGAAGTGGAGGAGGGGGTGGCCTGCGTTTCTGTGTAACGTGCTTCCTGCATGTACTTACCCAAGCCCGCTGAGCCTTTCTGTGACAGCACGAGTCCAGGCGCAATCACACGATGCAGTTTCCACGGTGACCAGCGGGCGGGGGCCACCTCCAAGACCCCAGCGCCCGGCTCCTCTGGGTGCCAGGGGAGGCCGCCTGACTTGAAGAGCTGCGATTCTTATCCCAGACCCCACAAGGGCACCATCAGTCGCCCGAGTCTCATTCCTGCCCTGGCTCCCAGGAGCCCAGAGCTGAAGTCTATGCTCGACTGTGGCAAACCAGGGTGCAGACGAGAGGCTCTCTTACCTCCGTCCGTGGACTTGTTGATTGTGGTTCTCCAGGGCCATCTCCTGTGGGCATTTTCACCCAGGTCCATTTGGAAGTCGGCAGAATACAGGCTGCAGTCAATGATGCCTGTCTTTTTATTATCAATAGTCAAGAATGCATTGTCTAAGCCGAGCACTAAAGGCGAACAGGGTGCTCCGACCAGCAGTTGCTAACTGCAGATGACACATGCTATTCTCGTTTCCAGGAAAAGAACTGGAAGGGAGTGGAAAAAATGCTGTGCAGGCCGAATTTGCAGGTTGGAGATGAGGTTTTATCGGGGCCAAATTAGGGACACACTTCCTTTTCACAGTGCGGGAAACAGCAGCGGTTCCCTCAAGGCCTGGGTTAGCATTGCTACGGAATCATGCTGAAAGGGTGTCCTCCCAAGGTCACGGAGTTGCAAGGGAGGGTCACAACAGCACCTCAGCTCTTGAGAGCCACACAGAGTTCACAGCGGGAAAGAGAAGGCTCTGGAAGGCACAAGCGGCCGAGCAGGTGCAGAGCCCTGCTGGTGCGGAGGCCAAGGTGCACCCTCCCTGGGTGGTTTTATGCCTGGCACCAACCCAGCAAGCAGTTAATTCTGCAGGCGGCTTTGGGTTTGGTTCATCTCATGAGAAAGGTTCCTAATCCAGGCCAACGTCTGCAGGTGGAATTAGGGTCTCCAGGTCCGGCATGGGTAAGAATGTTGCAGAATGTGCATGCAACATACAAAGCAACATTGCAACTTACAAAGTCACATTGCATTAAGAAAACCTTCCCCTGTGGAAATTTCCACCTCCCTCTTAGGGTAGCCCCACTGGAGCAGCGCCAGATGGATCTGTTTATGGTGGTGACACAAGGGGTGGAGGCGGAGCACCTTGGTAGGCGGGGTGTTGCCAGAGTCCATAGGGTGCAGCTTGGGAACTGGAGGCAGGACTGCAGGTGAGCCGCCTGCAGTGACTGCTGGCCGTAGAGCAGAGAGGGCGGCCAGGGACAGAGTGCCACCGAAGGCGAGACGGCCAGCAGCCCCCGTCCTCGTGAGAACAGCGAGAGAGCCCGCAGCGCGCCTCCTACCTCTGTGACTTAGCCACCGTGAGTAGGGGGAGGGTCGTGTCTTTCAGTGGCTGGGCTGGTGTGTGCATGGTGACTTTATCGGTGTGTGAGAGGTTCCTGACGAGGCGCCCACTTGGAGCCGTGGCCCCCGCGGCTCTGCGGCACCTGCAGTCTTTGCCATCCTCACTCACAGCCAGCCGGGCAGCGTGGCGACTGCGTTTCACCACACGTAGGGAGACTTCTCTGTTTCAAGCTTCCTGATCGTCTCTGACTCAGACCCTGCTAGCTGGAAGCAGAAAATCAGACACGACACTTCTGAGTCCACTAAGGACCTCGGCCAGGTTGTTTTCGTGGCCAAAAGGGTGGCTTTTGTGTGCTGATTCGGTCAGTCGAGCCCTTCGAGATTCTGTGCCACAGTTGCCTTTCCTGAACCTTCCTTGCGCGGGCAGGCGATGGCTTCCCAGAACTCCCGCTGGCCTCTGTGCGGAGGCATCGTAAGGCCCCCGTGCAAGTCAGCGGCTTTCACAGGACACGGGGGGAAGTGCAGTGCACGAGTTTCCTGGAAGCTATTCTTAGCGTATTATCTAGGTTGTTTTTAAAAGATTCATGTATTTATTTGAAAGGTAGCGTTATGGGGGTGTGGGGGGGGATGCCTGCATCCACCGGCTCCTCAAATGTCTGCAGCAGGCTAGGCCGGGGTGAAGCCAGAAACCTGGGACTCCGTCCAAGTCTCCCACGTGGGTGCAGGGGCCTAAAAGCTTGGGCCACCTCCTGCTGCTTTCCAGGGCAGCAGCAGGGAGTGGACTGGAAGCAGAGCAGGCCAGGCTAAGCAGCGCCCATATGGGATGCCAGTCTCCCGGTGACGGCTCCACCTGCCGTGCCGCAGTGTGGGCCCCTAGCTGCTTGTTGTCCCTTCTGTGATCTTCAGAGAGACATCGACTTGCAGGTCTGCGCCCCGCACTGGGATTCTGGGATCACCCACAGATCTCTCTGAGTGGGAGGCGTGGACCTGGGACGTCGTAGATTTTGATGAACAGACCCATTTCAAGTTCATCGATACTCTACGTGGACAGTGGTGGAACTGCCTTCCGCCTGTAAGAAATGCATTGTCTCCTTCAGAGCTGAAGCCCCGGAAGCCAGGGTTCATGGGGTGGGGGTGGAGTGGGGTGGGCCGCCCCACCCCACCGTGCTGTGTGGGGGTGCTGTGCCCGGACACGGGGAGCACAGAGCGATGTGCCCGGGCAGGCAGGCCCAGAGTGCCTGTGTGCCGTCTGCACCGTAATTCCAGCCTGTGACCTCCCCGGCCGGCATGCAGGCATTGTCCCTCCTGTCATCTGACCCAGCTGGGCGCACACCCTTTAATTTGCTTTCTCTCGTGCCTTGCACTGCTTCTGAAGCTCAGGACTGAAGTGGCGTCCTGCCCCGCCCCGCCCGGCCCTGCTGCCCACACACTCTGCCCCGGCCATCCCTGCTGTGTGGCTCCCTGTTCCTGCTCGCTGTCTTTCACAGCCCAGCTGTCCAGTCTGCGATATAAGCTTTGATTTTACCCGCAGCAGTTGCAGACCTGTTGCTGAGACAAAGTTCGTTTTGCACCTTCCGGTGGCTCTCCTGTGACGTCAGTAACCCAGACTGGGCAAGGGTGTCCACGCCCTGATTGACCAGTCACTGCAGCGCCTGAGGGCAGAGCGTGGAAACGCACACCTCCCGTTTCCATCAGCCAGGGACGCCTGCCTGCCTTTCTACCCAGGGAGGTTAGGGCAGCGCCCCGGCCCCGCCTCGCCAAGGAGAGCAGGCCTGCTGAGGTCAGGTGCGGTGGCGCCATCCCTGGATGCTTGTGAATGAAACAGCCTCCAGGGAATTCACGATTTTCTCTGGCAGAGGGCCTCCAGAGCTCGAGAGCAGGGAGCGGCCTGGCTGAGCGCTCCGGCGCCCGCTCAGCTGGACCGGAGCCCAGGGCAGAGCAGGGTGGAAGGCCGCTGAAGCCACGGGGCCGGCCGCCGGGCGGGGAGGGAGCCGCGGGGTCCAGACCCCAGGCCAGGGAGCGGCCGCAGGTGCCACGGGGACTGCCAAGACATGGTGAGCAGGTCCCACAGGAGAGGCCCGCAGGTGACCACGGACCCGGGAGAAGCTCCTGCTGCCCAGCGGGGGTCCCGGCCAGCCGAGGAGGGGCGGGTTTGTCGCCTTGCACCCACGAGGAATCCGGCGCCACGTCACCGGCTGTTCCTCCCGCGCCTGGGGCCGCTGGGGACCCGAACGCCGTCTCAAAGTTGCCCGGCGGAGTCCCAGCCTCTGGCGGGGGACATGGCTGGTGACCCTGGCAGAACCTCATCAAGGTCCTGCCCAGAGGGGGCGAGGCTGGGGAGTCCCGCGCCTCCCTCTCGGGAGCCCGGGACACGAGCTCCAGGACCCTGGCCGGAGCCCAGCAGGCGCCGCCGCCCAAGCCCGGCCTCCTCCGGGGACCCCCGCGCCCTGGCCCAGCGGCTGCTGGCCCGGCGGCCGCCGCCCCACCCGCCCGGAGCCCAGCCGACCCCTCCGCGACGCCGCGGCGGGCGGGACGCAGGCGGCGGCGGTGACTGGGCAGCCGCGCGGGGGGCCGGGCTGGGAGCGGCGGCCGCGGCCCTGGCCGCCCCGCCCCCGCGCCCCGCGTGCTCTCCCCGCGCCGCCCACCCCGGAGCCCCCTCCCCTCGCCGCCGCCTCTTCCTCCTCCCCCTCCGCCTCCGTCCTGCCCGAGCGGCCGGCGCGCAGGACGGCGGTGGCCGCGCCGAGGCGTAGCGGAAAGCCCCGGCCAGGGCGCGCGCGGGCTGGGAGCCGGCGACACGGGCCGGGCGGTGAGTGGGGGGCCCCGGCCGGGGGAGCCGGGAGCGCGGCCCGGCCGGGAACTTCGCTGGTCGCCCGCGGGCGGGGACGGGTCGGTCCTGGGGCCGCGGAGGCGGAAAGAACGGAGCCTGGCACGGCGCCTCCGCCGCCGCTGGCCGCGCGCCCGGGCCCGGGGGTCGCCCCGCGGGTGCCCCCGCCGCCCGCCACTGCTCGGGGCCGGGCCGGGCTGGGCGCGGGGCTTGGACTCTGTGCCTCCACGCGCGGTCCGCGTCCTCGGGACTCGGGCGGGCACGGGGTTTTGTCCCGCGCTGTGCGGCTCTCCCGCTGCTGCGGCGGAGTTGCGAGTTCCGTCCCATTCGCGGGCGGAAGACCCGGTCCCGGCGCCCCGCGGGCGCGGCTGACCGGGGCTCGGCACCGCCGGGCGGCCGGCGGGGACGGGGCTACGGGGCCCGGCATGCCGTGGCCGGGCGGCTGCCGGTGCCTTCCGCGCCCTGGTGTTCCGGCTTCTCTGCTACTGGCCCTCGTTTTACTTGTAGCGGCGAGAACACACGGAGGGCTCTCGCAGTAGGGAAGAGGAGTGGAATCCGACACCCGCGCCGGCGGCCTGCCCTGGGGAAGCCGTGGGTGCGGGTCCCTGGCCGCGGCGCGGGGCAGCGGTGTTTCCCGGAGGGTCGCCGCCGGGGTTTGCGCAGGGAGGGCGCGGTGGGCGCTTCGGGGTGGGGAGTCCGTGGTGCCCAGAGCTGGCCCCTGCGGAAGAAGCCTTAAGCTGTGAAAGGACACTCTCCCGTGCAGTTGGGATCCAGTGACCCAGCCGGAGAGTGCGGGAGGGGCGAGCTGCCTCCCGCCCTGCACCTGGGGAGGCAGACAGTGGGGCTGCTCGGCTAGCAGAGCCCCCCCCCCCCCCCCCCCCGTAGGAGGTGACAGAAAACTGCAGGGTCCCACGTACAGCTTCTCGCAAGCGCAACAGAGGCCGAAACAGCCGCTCAGGTCGGGCCGTTCAGTCCAGTGGGCTGCTCGCTGCCTGAACTGTGGGCGAGTTAATGTCTTGAGCTTCAGTTTCCGTGTCTGTCAGGTGGTGGGGATCACAGTGAAGTCATTGTGGCCACGTGGGCCTCCTGTGCCGGGGCAGCTGCAGCTGGGTGCGAGGCTCAGCTGCTCTGCCCCCCGTCCAGCGCTCTGCTAACGTGGCCGAAGACGCAGGAGCCGAGGGACCCCTGCCTGGGCTCCTGCCATCCACGCGGGCTGAGGGAGGGAGACCCAGATGGAGCGCCTGGCTCCTATCTTCAGCCTGGTGGCTGCAGCCATGTGGGGAGCAAACCAGCGGGTGGAAGATCTGTCTGTCCCTCTCTCTCTGTCATTCTGCCTTGCAAATTAGTGAAAGTAAAACCTTTAGGGCAAGACAAGAGTTGAAGTCAGCGACACTCCGCAGACCACCTGCCTGCTGCTGTGTGGGACTGAGTGGACGGAGGGAGTCGTCGTGATGGCCCTGAGTTCGGCAGACACCCAGTGCCGTTTGTTCAAAGGGCTGGGTGCCCAGGACGGCAGATTTCAGAGTGGACGGCCGTTGGCTGAGGCCGATACGTGTCCGCTACCAGCACTCAGAGACACTCCATTTTTCTAGACGTTGGAGCCGTGTCCTTTTGGACCCGTCTGGCCGTCCACTCCCGGGCCTCCACCTGCAGGGTACGCTGCCCTGGCCCTGAGGCGAGAGCACAGCTGAGGTTTGCAGCTCCAGGCCCGCTCTCCCCTCGCTCCCCTGGCCGGAGGTAGGTTCTCAGGCCCTAGGCCCCACCCAAGGAAATACCTGCGTTTTATTTGGGGGTAGGGGTAGGAAATCCTAGTGGTGGAAGCTGCCTCTCTTGGGAATGCTCAAAGCAACATTTTACTCAATGCTTAGTGCTCTTGGAAAGATACAAACAATAAGTAATTGTTTTGTGTGTGTGCAAAGGGCATTTACCGCAGAAGGCAACTTTCAAGTACTGTGGGGTCAGGAGTGCGCTGCCCAGTTGCTGTTGAGGCCGTGCCTGAGAGCAAGGTGGACAAACCCTTCGCAGCAGGACGGCGGCTCTGGGGCGGGGCCTCTCGGGTGCAGCCGTGGTCCCGACGCCTGTGCACTCATTGAGCTGCTCACGCAGCTGATGCCGTGTGTGCGTTCCGGGGGAGACCGAGAGCAGGCCAGGTGTGTGTGGTCGTGGTCGGGAGGCCCGCTCCGTTCTGGACCTCACACAGCTGTGCGCGTGGTTCTGGGAGGGGCTTAGAGCCGCCTTCCGTGGCAGCCAGCAGAGAAAGCAGCGGTTTTCTGAAAGGTGGACTGCTCCACTTCACAGAGGCAGAGAGGGAGTCAGAGGCGGGGTCTGGGCACCACCTTGTAAGACCTAGCTGGTGTCCAGGGCGGTGTCCTCGGGCACTGGCCGCCTTGGCTCACAGAAGCTGTGAGTGGAGGAGGGATGGGGAGGGTGGGTTCCTCGTGCCCCTTCAAGAGTTTCTCTTCCCTTCATTCGCAGATATGATAAAGAATGCTGCAGTAGTAACACAGGTGCCTGGGGGGAGGGGCTTGTGCAGGCGTGTGCAGGTCAGGGCCCTGCAGGAGTCTGGGCTGTGGGGTCTCGGGTGCTGAGCCGAGCCGCCTGATATTCTCAGAGGTGTGTGGAGGGTGAGGTGATCTTACTGTGCGCGTGGAAAAGCGGGCCAGATGACAGGAGGCTGGGGACCAGGTGCTGGCCCAAGTGCCGGGGGGTGCAGGTGGGGCCGAGAGAGGCAGAGCCCACTTCCCAGCGCTGAGTGACTGCGGTGGCTGTGCCGCCTATCGCCGGGGGCCCTGCTGTGGCGTGAGTGGGCGAGGAATGTTCATTTGGCTCCAGCACCACACTGAGAACCTTCCAGGGAGAGCTGCGCCCTTGGACTTGGGTCCCAAGGCGGGGAGAGCGGCTGGAGCTTGTGGTGGGTGGGAGGGGGCGACAGTGGCTGCAGGGAGGCCGCCCTCCCCCGCCCCGGCTGTTGAGGTTCACTCTGCAGTGCTGCGCTTGGGCGAGTGTGTTCTCACAGTGCAGAGATCCTCACCTTGCTCCTCGGCCTCTCCACAGGCCTAGCTCGGGGCGAATGGCCCTGGCTGCGGCTCGAGACCACCGGGCTCGCACCCGTGGGATGCTGCGGTCTTGGCGAGATCCGCCCGGGTCACTGTGAATGGAGACGGCGAAGAGGAGCACGCACAGAATGGTCCTGTGGACGTCTGATAGCCAGGATTGGACCTGGCCAAGCTGGTGTCCACAGGCACGCGCACACACACACATCGTGGACTGACCTGATGGCGTTGGTTCCGCCCACGCAGACGTGTTCTCCCAGCACCAGAGGCTGAGGGCCTAGGCCCCAGTGGGAGGGCATTTGGGGTGGACTTCAGGAGGAAATTAGGCTCAGATAAGGTATGGAGGGTGGGGCCCCGTCATGGGACTCGTGTCCTTAGGGCCCCGAGCTCCCTCTCTCCACCATACGAGGCCCAGCACAAGGCCTGGTCTGCGGCTGGGGGACGGGCCCTCACCAGGAACCTGCAGTGGGCTCCCGCCCAGGACTCTGGGAGTGGCCTGCAGTGTTTCATTATCGCAGGCAAGGCAGGACACTGTGCGGACTTAGGACTGTAGTGCAGGTGGAGTGAAAGACAAGGTTGTGTGGGTGCGGAACTTTCTGAAATTCATCCAGGGCTTCACGACATGCACTTCCCGCAGACTTGTTGAAGGTCCCTCCTGTGTGTCGGCGGAGTGTCGGGCACAGACGGGTGTGCCGTCTGCATGTTCTCTAAGGAATCTGCCAGCCCCCGGTCAGCTCGGGGGACACTCAGGCCCAGGGTTTTTGAGTTTTCCTACTGTAGTTCTGTTGTGATTTTTATTTAATACCACATTTTATTGGCTACATGTTTTCTTTTTTAAGTTTTATTCATTTATTTGAAAGAGCTAGAGAGAGAGAGAGCTTCTGTTTGTTGGTTCACTCCCCAAATGGCCTCCGTGGTTGGGGCTGGGCCGGGCCGAAGCCAGGTTCCAGGAGCTCCATCAGGTCTCCCATGTGGGTGGCTGGGCCCAGGTCCTTGGACAGTGTTCCGCTGCTTTCCCTGGTGCATCAGTGGACAGCCGGGACTCGAGCCAGCGCTCCAGTCCTGGCTGCTGGTGTCACAGGTGGTGTAGCCGTTCTTTGCCACAGCGCCGGACCAAACCGCATGGTCTCCCACCATCAACCTAAACACTGGTGAGATTCAAGCCTACTTCACAGGTTTAAAGTAACGGTACCAGCCGGTGCCTGGCTGCAGAGCTAGCGTGAGGAATGCTAGTGTTTGGGTTTGTGGTGAGCGACATCTGATGCTGCCTGTTTATCTTGTCGATTGTTGAGGCAGAGAAGGGAGGGCTGGTATCCCTTTTGGTGGCTCGCTCCCCACGTGCCGACCGCACAGGGGCTGGAGCCAGGAACCCATCCCAGGTCTCCGGCACGGGGGGGGGGGGGGGGGCGGAACCATTGCCACTGCCTCCCAGGGCTCGCATTAGCAGGAAGCTGGGGTCGAAGCTGGGGCAGGGATGGGGCAGGGATGGGACCTAGGCACTGGGGAGTGGGATCCTAACCAGCTCCTCGCCAGCCCCCAGCGTGTCGCTCTCCCCAGGGGGTCAGCTGTGTGGCTTGTGCTCAGGGCGTGGGCTGCCGGGGATGGCACTGACGCACCACTGACGTGGGCTGACGTTCTGGCTCCGTGTCCCCTGTCCGCTGCTCTCTGCTGGCTGGCTGCACTAACTTGTGCTTCCCGTCGGGGGCACGAGGCTCGTCTCCTTCGAGTCTACCCAAAGGCACCCAGATGCTACTGCTGTCCATCTGCGTTTCATGCATGAAAGACTCCTTGAAAGTGGGGGCAGCGGCCCCTGGGGGAGCTACAGGACCCCTACAGGCCCAGTGGGGAGGGCTAGCAGTGACGCCTCAACCCCCCCACCCCCGCCTGCTTACCTGGCTTACAAGGACCCAGATTCCGAGTTCCACATGT